CGGTGCCCCGGGGGTCTTATATCGTGTCGCGATGCGGCCCGATCGTTGCGAGCATGGAAAGTAAGAGGGCTGGCACGTTAGCTCATCCCACGTTCGCACGAACGGGAACTTGACGCGTCGACCCGAGATCGGCAAGCCATAGCTCCCACGCTACATCGTCGCCGTCATCATCAATCTTATAGCCGAATTAGAGATAGGTTTGCCGAAGCAATGAACAAGATGGCTGATCCCTGGTCTCCTTCAATATCCGACGAATTTGTCGTCGTCCCCAAAGGCCCCCATATACACTCGCATCGCATCACGTCCCGTCGCATCGTCTTGCCCTACCACACCGATCAAAATGTCGGACACGAAGACTTCCCACGATCTGAACTGCCTTACCATCGGCGAACTCGAGAAGCTTGCCGCCGAGCGCATGGACAAGCAGACACGCGATTACTACAATGAGGGTGCAGACTCTGGATCGACGCTCCGCGAGAACATTGACGCATACCAGAAGTACCGCATCCGCCCACGCGTGCTTCGCGACATCTCCTCCATCGACACGACCGTAAACGTTTTCGGACACAAGAACAGCATACCCCTCGGTGTCGCACCAACTGCTATGCAATGTCTCGCGCACGACGACGGTGAACTAGCGACCGCGCGCGCATGCGCCAACAAGGACATAGTAATGGGCTTGAGCAGCTTCAGCACAACCAGCCTCGAAGACGTGAAAGGCGCATTGGGCAACCACCCAGGAGCCCTACAACTCTACCTCTTCGAAGAGCGCACCCAAAGCCAGAAGCTCATCCAACGCGCCAAGAAAGCCGGCTACAAAGCTGTCATGCTCACAGTCGATACCCCAGTCCTCGGACGCCGGAACTTAGAGATAAGGAACCAGTTCAAGCTGCCGAAACACCTCAAAGTAGCAAACTTCAACCGCGATGAGAATCACGATGAAGGGGTCAAGGTTGAAGAGAAAATCTCCTCACCATCTACGGAAGCGAACGAATCGCGCAAACGGAGCGAGGCACCCAGTGCCACTGACGGCAACAAGAGACAGCCACCACAAGGGCCGATAAGCTTTCACACGCACGCGCCAAACCCGACCTTATGCTGGGAACGCGACATAGCCTGGCTGAAGGAACAATGTTACCCTGAGATGGAAGTCTGGGTAAAAGGCGTTGCGACGGGCGAAGACGCACTACTAGCCTGCCACCACGGTGTCGACGGTATCGTTGTGTCGAATCACGGTGGGCGACAACTTAATGGCGCATTGGCTACCATCGATGCGTTGCCTGAAGTCGTTGCTGCAGTACATTCACAAACCGGGAAGAAGATTCCTGTACACGTAGACGGAGGCATCAGGCATGGTACGGATGTATTCAAAGCACTCGCGCTGGGTGCGGACTTCGTCTGGGTTGGCAGACCGATACTTTGGGGATTGGCATACAAAGGACAAGAAGGTGTTGAACTGGCGCTGAGGTTGCTGAGTGATGAATTCAAGTTGTGCATGGGACTTGCGGGTGTGACAAAGGTTGAGGACATTGGACCAGAGTACTTGGTCAAGATGGATCGAAGTGGATTTGTGAGTCGTCTTTAGAGACTACGAGCATACATTGCCGGGTAGCTCTGGATCTATATACTATTGATACGGTTATTGTACATACAAACAGCCTCGGATATGTTGCGACACCTATTCTGCCTGCCTCCTGCTTTCGACAAAGTCCACATAGTCGAAGAAGCTCTTCTTGTACCTTCGCACTTGTGTCGTGCGGTTGACACTCTGGATACCAAACTGCTGATCGTAGTCACCAAACTCCCAGTTATCCGCCCACGACCACGCAAACGCGCCTATGAAATTGACACCGTCTTCCCAGATCGCCTTTAGGCCTTCGTTTAGATATGTCTGGTAATACCAGCTCCTTGGGCTATCGAATTCTTGATCTGGCTGGGTCTTCTGCGCCTCGGCGAATACAGGAAACCCGAATTCGGTGACGGCGACCGGAGTACGCCATGTGTTCCAAAGGTAGTTTAGGTAGGTGCGGAAGTAGCTTGGCGTCAGATAGACATAGGATTGACTTCGGTATCCAATATTCCAGCCAGTGCTGGTGAGAGTGCTCTGGGTTACACAGTAAGGTCGGTTGGGATGAGTGATGTTGGCGGCGCAATCAGCGATTGTGTCATTCGGCGGTGGGCTGACTACAGTTGCAGTATACGGTTGGATGGAGAAGAAGTCTGCAGTTCCGTTTATGTACTTTAGATCTTCTTCGCTCAAGGGCACATAGTCAGCAATACTGCTTTTGAATGATTCGGGGTAGTCTATTCCGAGGAAGATGGGGTTTGCAAAGGTAGCCAGCTGGAAGGAATTGAAGTGGTTGGCCGCGTCGACGTCGGCGGGATCCTCAGGGTTTCTTGGGACGCCAAAGTTGTCGCTAAAAGTGAGCGAAATTCTGCCCGTTCCGGCAATCTCCTTTTTGTAGAAGTGATAGAGTCTTGCATGAGCCTTGACTACAGCGTTAATCGACTTGCCGTTCCGAGAAGCCAGGAGAGGCTCATTGAAGGTCCACCAGATCGGCACGCGGTCGGCAAAGTGTGTCATGACAATTTTTCCGTAGTTGACGAAACCATCCTCCCAGGACACATTCTTGTAGCTACATTGGAAACAAGAATCTAGATAGCCGATACCTCCGGTTCCGGGCTTAATAAAGACATCGCTGATGTTACTGAAGAACTGGAGAGGGGAGTCGTTGTGGTACAGAACGATAGCGGGATGCATACCCTTCTCCAAAACGAAATTGATAAGATCGTCATAGTGTGCGAGACCTTGCTTGTTGACTGGTGTGCCTGGTAGGACGAATGGAAGAATTCTCGTCCAGGGGATAGAGAATCTGTAATACTTGATGCCCATGGAAGCGATCCGTTCAATATCTTGCTTGTACAAGTAGTAATTTTCGATAGCGGTATAGTCTGGCGCTTGACCTGGGTTGAGCAACCCAGCAACGTCGTTGTGAACGGGTGTCCGCCCCTCGTCGGCGATGGCTCCCTCAATTTGCACTGCTGCTGCTGCCACACCAAGCATGAAGTCTTTGGGGAAAGTGTAGCATTGCTGGGGAGCCAGCGGCTCAGGTGGTGGCAAAATGAGCTCGCTGGTCGGTACTGGAGTTGGTTCAACTGTTGTAGAGTATATTCCGGTGGTGAAGTTGCTCCAAGGTACGGCTGTCCAAAAAGCCGTCCAGGACGCGTTTCCGTATGGGTTCGTCAAATCGGTGGCTGAGGCCGTGGTATTCGAATTCCAGTTGCCCCATTGTGTCGTCGTCAAATTCGGCACCAAGCTGCTGAGTGACGCATACGGCGGCGCATAAGTTGTCGTTGTAGTTGGGGCCGGGGCAGACTTTGCTGTACGGACAGTCTCGGTCTGTGTGAAGCTGAACTCTCGGAAAGTATATGAGGGCAGTGCAGTCGCATATGCGTATGTGTGGTTTGCTGAGCATTGTGGTCGTGAAGCTGGCCCTTCAGCAGGGACGTAGACTTGCTGGGCAAGAGCCACAGCGCCGTACGCTAGAAGTGCTTGAGGCTTCATGATGATAGCCAAGGGATGCTTGATACATCTTGGTCTACCAAACAGAGCTCTTTATACGTCTGTGGCTTTCCAATCGGGCCGTGGGACTGATTCTGACGGTGGTACTCGCCGTCATGCGGCATGTGCAATTCCTTGTACCATCACAAAACATCGCAGCCCTAGTCCCTTCGTGAGTTAATACGAGGATACGATGCGGCCTTGATCCCTTTCTGGGCTTCGGCGGATCAAAATGCTCGGTCGAGGTCGGTCGGGCCCGGTGTCGGTAGTGCTTTGCGGGGATTTGCGGGGTTGAGCTTGGTGTGATGACGGCCGGCATGCAACGTCTAAGCTCCAACGTTGCTTTCCATGATTTGATCAGACTCAAGGTCATAGCAAGTCTCGGGATATCTCAGTGCATGTTGCGTCGCCGGCCTTACGCAAACAAGATTAGCATGTTCTCCGCAGAGGATACTTCCGGGGTTCAAAGGTTCCCTGTTTGTGCTTGCAAGTCAACGCGTCTTCAACTCTCTCGGTATATCATTGCGCGACGTCGCCAACTGACAACCAAAACTTCGTGGATGTCTGGTTGCATGAATCGAGTGCCCATAGCAATGTTTACCCAGTCTCCACCGCAATAGTTGCTGCCAAGACAAGGGCCCGAACGTCTGAGCCAGGTGCATCGATCGGACTAGCAATCACATTCGCTCATGCAGTATCCTGCTCCCGCAATATGCTATTACCAAGCAGTACGACTTATAGCTGCTCAACCCGCGTAGCATGTCTTTACTAAGATGCGCTCATGATAAAGACGTGTCGCGTGTTTGACTTCAATTGATGACCCACGTCCAAGACCGAGTCCTTGGGAGAATGTCGTAAACTATAGGTGCACTTGGAATCCTGTGGCAGGTATCCGTACAAGCCATCAAGCTGTTCCGCCTTTGACCTGTAATGGACTTTTTGGCTTGTCTGGCCGCTTCGCTCCCGACGAGAAGTGCAGCAAGCGCTTTCGGGATGCCATGGTGGTTCATCGACAAAAAGCAGTCTTGCCGACTGTCAAATTACAGGGTATTTTGTTCTGATCGGGCTCCGTCGAAACTAGACAAGGCAGAGTCTAAGTTTGCAGCTCCTTTTGCTTCAAAGCATTGCTGATGTCGTGATTCTTGTCAAGCTCAGGCTCGCTGCCACTACAAGTCTACAAACGGATAGGAATGAGCAAAGACCATGAGTCGCATGGACTTGAACATAGAATAGCGTAAGTGTATAGTTGGAGGTTTGAGCAGTCTTGGTGTTGGTGTTGGTCTCGAGAAGCAGAAGATGACGCTAGCGGGGTCCGTGCGCCCACACGAATTTCGTCGTTGCCAACCCACTTGCCGAACTTCACGACGCTCACGACAACTCCAGCGACGACGCACCCGAAACCCGCCCAAATCGAATATCCCCCCGATAATCTATCAAAATGTCTGGAAAGCGCGGGTACGTAGTCCTCAGCGATAAATTGGGCAGTTTGAGGCTGTCATGCAGAGGAATGCTGGCTAACGAGTGTGCAGTCGAGGTTCTACCTCCGGTAACAAGCTCAAGATGACTCTTGGTCTGCCAGTGTACGTTTGACCCCGATGCGATCGCTCCGCCGAAAACCTTTCCGTTCGCGAACACGCATACAAGGCACACAGGGAATCCAGGCTAATAGATGCACAGCGGCGCCGTCATGAACTGCTGCGACAACTCCGGTGCCCGCAACCTGTACATCATCTCCGTCAAGGGTATTGGTGCGCGTCTCAACCGCCTGCCCGCTGGTGGTGCCGGTGACATGGTCATGGCGACCGTCAAGAAGGGAAAGCCCGAGCTGAGGAAGAAGGTCATGCCCGCCGTCATTGTCCGCCAGAGCAAGCCATGGAGGCGAGCAGACGGTATCTACCTGTACTTCGAGGACAACGCCGGTGTCATTGTCAACCCCAAGGGTGAAATGAAGGGCTCCGCCATCACTGGACCCGTCGCAAAGGAGGCCGCTGAGCTGTGGCCGGTACGTCTGCACCCGCCACCAACAGAATCAACACTAACAACATCCAGCGTATCGCCTCCAACTCCGGTGTCGTCATGTGAGGTGTCTCTTTTCCTGCTTTCGATCACATTCATGGGTTTACGGGCACGGCGAAAATGCATTTACGGGGTGAAGGATTTGGGAGACGACATTGCAACCACGATTAGCAATGGGACGACCTTCACAATACCAGTCAAATGAACATTACGACCAAAACCACACTTTTGTTCCTCATTGCAGTGACGGATGAGTGACATGGCGGCAGTGCGCCAACAGGATCAACAGCACAGGGAGCGCGTTAAGGAAACGTTTTGCGATGGTCAGACTCTATTAATTGATCTGACATGAAGACAGGAACTATGTACTAAACCCACGCACACTAGACCCTAGGCTCATCGGCTGAGCACGAGCTCCTATCGCACGCCAGCATCTGGAAGTCTGCCTCCTCGACCACGTCCTGCGCCCATCGCATCTGTATCATACTTCTCGCCTCAACCTCACGCTTCCTCTGCCCACCCACGAACTTCAAGTTCTCATTCCCAACAACACCGGTCGTGACAACACCAGTGCTCGGCGCACCGATTCCTTGCACCTGGCCATTGCCGCCCTGCATGACGTTCGCATAGCTCGACGACATGGTCTGTACTCCAGAAACGAAGTCCTGGCCGTCAAACTCGCAATGTCCTCCCGCAGGTGTGTTGTCCACTGTCTGCAATGTGTTGACCTGATCCGCGCTCAAACCTGCATCTGCGCCGAGCTGCTCATAGGCTGTAACAGCCTGTGGAATGCTACCCTGGAGCAATTGGAGCTCACTCTGTGTAGATTGGAAGTGGATCCTTGTCTGAGACATAACTGTGGCAGCGTTCTGGAAAGCGACTTGCGGCGGCATGCCACCGCAGTTAAGCTCGACAGCCGAGTTGGCGTAGTTTTGCATCTGTGCTGGGATGAAGAAGCCGGACATCATCAGCGAGCCGCCCGAGACACCTGTGAAGACGATGTTGGACATGTTAACTGCAACCCGTTGCGGCAGTTCGGTTTGGATGAAGTCGTTGACGGCCTGGGCGTGTGCTACACCATCTGTACGCTGAAGACCCGAGCCTCCTCCCCAGAACAGGTTCTTATCGGGTGCCAATAGAGCAACACCCATGGTATTGGCCTGAACAGCTTGGTTCGGCATGTCGAAGAAGCTCTGTCCACCGTCGCCGTGGAGCAACACGTTCGCGCCCAGGGTGCCGTTCGCCGATGTAGCTGCCGCACCGGGGACGCCCGAAGCTGGAAGGAATTGATCTGCCGGTGCGGAGATCTTGAATCGAATAGGCAGGTTGTTGACCATGACCGTGTCATCCAGTATCATGGAGCCATCGGTGGCGGTAGAGATTCCCTGGGGCACCTGAGCCGCTTTTTGAAAGGCTGTCGCTTGTTGTGCGTTGCCGTTACCGCCGCGGTTGCGTTGTGGCAGCGCCGAAGTGAGTGAAAGCAGCGAGAGAGTGATGAGTCCGTACATGATTGCGATAACTAAAAGCTCAATAGATGGAAATAGAAATTAGGTTATTGAAATGATGGACCGGCCAGGAAGAAGGATCGAAAGAAGGGTGGCAGACGAGAGATACCGCACGGCAGTATAGCGGGAAGAGAAGAAAGGAAAGAAGTGTGGGGGATTCCCATACATCTATACTGCATGAACGGCATGCTACAAATCACGAAAAGGCCTCGAGTCTGCGAAACACAGTTTCTTTCACTCCTAAACGCGTACGAGTATAGCCAAGCCTACAGGTCAGAGCTTCGCCTTGCCTCTCTTGAGCTTAACATGACTGATTTCCACCACTGAGCGGTGTGGTCTGGACGAGGCTTATGGAAGCTGTGTTTGATGCGCGGATCTTGCAGCAGCTGTGGTTTGAGCTTGGAGGCCTTGGTGTTTCGGGCCGGGCCTTGGCGTGCGATTGCGGGTAGCGAGGGTTTACAGAGCTACCAGGAGCGCGCCGAGCGTACGAGTACTGCTATTCATAATTACTTCTAGCTTCAGGGGCATTGTTGGAGATGTTGCGATGTTGATCGTCGTGAGCGGCAAAAGGAGTATCTCGGTGTGGAGGGTCCGTGCGTGGGACTGAGGCCGCCATCATCTGCATGCATGATTCTCCTGTCATTCACACCTTCATGTACTTGAGATGCATCTTTCTGATAGCTTCTCATGATTTCTGGATCTATCTCTAGCAAGACAATTAAGATGCAGACATTTTGTCTGCGCAGTAGTCATCATGACCAAAATTGTAAGAAGCCTGGGTACAAACAAACATCAGGACTTCATGTTCCCCACAATCGACGCGCTATTATGTGAGCAAAAAGAATTGACTTCACAACTTCATCGAATGCCAAGGGAGGCAAAAAGAAGATCACTGAATGCCACCTGGCCGAATTGCTACAACACTGTTAGTAATGGAATTTGAACCAAGCGCGGTTCAACTTACAACGACCGATCTTCGCATATCTAGTAGTGACTACAAGTGCGACGCTTTACCACTTAGCCAAGGAGGCAATTGTTGATGACTAATAAATTAAAATGGTACATATCGACACGTCAAGTGTGGGCAAGAGCACGTTGACGTGGTAAGCGAGGGTGTGGGGCGGCAGCAACGACGATGTCTAGGAGTGAAACTGGGGACTATCCGACTGTCACAGTTAGGGCCACAGAGGGGGAGAGAGAAATGCAAGTAATGTGTGACTTTGATATTGTTATCTGATGGATAATCTCTTAAACAAAACCGCTATGCAAGATACCTAGAATCCCAAATGCTAAAGAAAAGGGTAGCTGTAATGCTAGAAATAGCTTCCCAATCGTCCCCCAAACGCCACGCTTGTGCTCATGCAAATGCCTCGCTTCATAAATCGTCAATCTCGAAAATAGCAGGAGGAGCCTAGGCAAGGCCGAAAACACCCCTCAAGCGCCTCCAGAGCTCCTTGCCCATGGCCTTTCGGGTATCCTCAGTGCGGAGCGCAGCTTCCTTGTTCTCACTTGCCCTCCTGAGCAGGAAGTTGAGGCATTCGGTCGTGGTACCCCAAGTCATGCACTTGACGACCTTGGCCTGAGTGTCCGCCTTCATGGTCTCGTCTTGGACTAGAGCCTGGGAGATCTCGTCAGCCATACCCTGGAGTTGGGCGTAGGTGAGACGAGGTAGGTTCTCCGGGGATGTGGAGAGCATTTGTTGGGCGCGGATCTTCTGGGCGGCTTGGACTGAGGCGAGGTTGTGGGTTGCGAGGACAATGTTGACCTTGGGGAAGGGAGTGCCTGGTGTGGGGGCGGGGACCTTGTCAGTCCATTGTTGGCGGACTACGGCATCAGCGAGGGCATCGTAGTTGGCGTCGGTGCCGGCTTTGGTGTCAAAGGTGAGATGCTTGGGCTCGGATGTGAGGTAGGCGCCGCGTACAAGCTTGACACCAGCGATGTAGCCTCCCTTTGAGGCGCGCTCAAGGTGCTCGGCAAGGCGCTTCGAGATGTCGCGCAGGTAGCACTGGTATGTGATGTAGAGTACCGCGCGACCGTTCTCGGGCTTGTTGTACTTCTCCTGCAGGGCTAGTGTCCACTTCTCGAGTCCACGGTTGGTTGCCTCTTCTTCGGCACCAGGGAGGAGGCTGACACCCTTTGCGGCGGCGGCATCGCAAGCTGCCGTGATGGCATCCCACATCTCAGGGGTGGCATCTTGCTGGTTCTGGAGGAGGTTGAGGGCATGGCGACCGAGACCGGACCATCTACATGGTGGTTAGTAGGTGCTTGTGTCTAAGCCATCGAGTCAAGACTTACTTCAGTCCAACAAAGTCACCCTCCTTCGCCATATCAACGCTCTGCAACATTCCCTTCCTCCACACCTCAATCTCCATCTTGGTCTCTTCGGCAGTCGGTGCCTTTCCGCCTAGAACCTCGAGCGCGTACTCAAACAGGATACCGCCGTATCCAAGCGTGCGTGCAAATTCGGTGTTCCTGACGACCTCATCTTTCTTCTCGCCAACGCAGTACTGCGCATAGAAAGTCTTCTTGAGTAGGTTGGACAGCACCGGGTTTCGCTCGATGCTCAGGAGGAAAGACTTCGAGTCTAGCATGCGCCGTAAGATGCCGAAGCAAGCATTGAGCAGCAGAGGCCGGGATGACACGGCTGTGATGAGGTAGGATCGAAGGACGGTCTCTGTAGGTAGGCGTCCGAGGACTGCTTTTGTCTGCGCTATTTGCGACTCTGGCTGTGTCGACAGGAGTTGTGAGGTCGAGACTTGTGATGAGGCGGGGATAGACACATTCTGTCGTGCGCTCTGGGAGACGTAGCGCGGCGTCTGTGCAAGGGTTCGGGATGTGTGTGCGAGTGCCAGGCTCTGGAAGCGGTGGAGGTTCTGTCTCCGGATCATCATGTTGAAATGTGGGTGTAGTCTGGCCCTCAAGTGGTTGTGTGAAAGGTGGTGTAGTTTGCACTTCGAGTTGGTGAATCGGCACGGGCTATAGATTTTCGGTGTATGCAAACTTGAGAGGGCGAGCGATTCTGGAGGTCTTGTGACTTGCTTTTCATTGTGGTGAAGGCCATATATACCATGGTTGGTACTCTTGGTGCTCCACGATATCGCACGCGATGCTCGGCTTGCGTCGGATGCGGTCATGTCGCACTAGTGCAGCTTCATTGTTGCTCCAGATGGTGCCAGACTGACGCAGACGCCGGCTTATCGCCCGCGCTAGACGGACCGATGATTGGACAATGCCGCAACGCGTTCCTGTGGAGTAAACGACATGTCTGGCATTCATGGCGACGTGATGGTGTTGAGGTTTGTTGCTGGATGTGATGTAACGACCGTCGTAGAGTTTGTGATAAATTCACCGTGCCTGCTTCCCGTGCAAGCCGGGGACGTAGCATCATCAACTTCCAGTCTGCGATCCCTTACTTTTGCCATGGCTTTGACCTCCAAGCTGCCATCGTGACCTTCGCAATGCCTGTTACCCCACAGTCGGCGAAATGCACAACCAGCCGCTCCTCACATTAGCGTCATCTTGCCAGCACAGCTCCATTCGCGATCTGTGTTGGGTTTGCCG